GCTTTTGACTCTTGTCTACACAACAGTCAGAAAAATTTGGGTCAAAAAAGCAATCTCGTTTTAAATCAGAGACACACCATAGACGTCAACATATTTTTTCTTTCCTCCTCTCTGCCTTCATTACCTCTTGTCCACTTTTCCAGGGATTATCTCTGCCCAGTGTTATCTCTGATGATAACATTAGTTTAGCAGTTTTCAGAGACCTGGAATTCAAAGATTTAGTTGCAAAATTTAGCATATGGAGAGCCTGTCAAACTGTCACTCCAGTATTTGCTTGCCTGGAGAAGACGGGGGGCTCAGCGGCTCTCTGCTGAAGGCACTCTCTGGGTGAGTAATTATCTATGTAATGAAGAAGCTCTTTAAATGAACTAAATGACCGCATAGGTTTGTAATTGTACCTGGGATGATTTAAAAGGAAGACAAATGTGAGGCTAATTCCCATTCTGTGCAAATCTTTCTGCCCTACTTTATGGCTGAAGTCGCTGAGCAGCTCTGGTGCTGGTGCTCATTTAATCTTCCCAAAGAAGGCTCAGCAGGGCGGGGGGTGGTAATTTTGCTGAACATCTTAACAAACCAGTCCAAGCCCCCCTTTCCTCAGGGTTCTGAAGAGCTATAAGTACCTGCGAGAGGGTGTCACCTCTGTGTGTTGCACAGCTAGATGTTTTCTGGAGCTGCCTAACCTGTGCTGGGGAGCTCTTCCTCACCGCTTTGGGCACAGCCTGGAGCACTGGCTGAGACCGTCTCACCCCTTCCCTTCCCCGCTCCCCCACACTGGCTCCAGCGATTTCATTTAGCTCATTAAATTGGCAGAACGCTAATCCAGCAGAACGCCAGGTTTGCTGGGGACACGCAGGGATGCTTGGGCAGGAAAGAGGGACGTGACTGCCCTTCCCAGGTTGTCCCCCACTTGCAGCCTCCCACAATCTCACCAGACCACGGCCTGCCAAGCTGCGGGGCGCAGCGTGCAGACCTAGCAAGACCAGGCTGCATCACATGAATTACAGAATAAAAGGCTTCAGTTCCTTCATATCTCCTTCTCTGGAGATATTCAAGACCCGCCTGGACAAGGTCCTGTGCAGCCTGCTGTAGGTGA